GAGGCCTGGCTGGACCGATAGCCTCCAAAACAATACAGAGAAACCCTGTCTCGTAAAAACCAAAAAAAAAAGAAAATATAAATTTTTAATTGCTACTATAATGGCATAAGAAGCCCACATGAGGATAGGTTTTCTCTATCAGTTTCTTCTACATATACTTAAAATGTCTAAGGAGTTCGAATAAAAATTGAATGTTATTATGAAAGGATTCTCTAAGTGGACTCTCATTTTGTATGTGCTGGAATTTGTATAGGCAGGAAAATCATTTATCTAAGTGACTTTGATATTAACTTGAAGGCATTTAAACATCTGAAATAGAGAATTTATATGGGATTCTTCAACTACTATTTTCCTAGAAATAATTTAGCGATATTTGTTTTTTAATAATTTATACAAATATGTTTACTGGAATACAGTTTAATATCAAAACTTGGAAACTATTAAAATGCACCTCATGATCCCTACCCACAACTCCATCAGAATCCCCCTACTCTAGTGGAAAGCATGCTCATATTCAGAAACCCAGGTAATAAAGAACCTGCCTGCAAATATCCAATACTTCCTCAGAGCCCAATCAGCTATCCCTACTATCACCTCCTTCCCTCAACTTCATATCCCAGCCCACAATTATAACCAAAGGCCCCTGCTCTATCAGAGGCTACACTGGTACCTAGAACCCCAGAGGGCAAGTCAGTATCCAGAACCCCAGAAGGCCCCTGCCATACCAGAGGCCACACCAGTATGTGAAACCCAGAGGCAATGTCTGCATCCAGAACCCAAGAGGTAAACAAGGCCACCAAAAATGTAGCAGAGGAACTCTACTAGACCAGAGGATGTACCATGACTAGAACCACAGGTCACTCAGGCTAGAAGCCCAGAGAGAAAAAAGAACCAAAGGAAAATATCCATCCAACAATGCCAAACTCAGAAATTAGAACCTAAATCTATTACCCTAAACCCAGATGCCTATAGGTCATAAGTATGCACTCAACAATACCCTGAATATTTCAACACTGCTGGGGCACAAGAAAATGACCTTAAAATCAAATTTATGAAGATGATAGAGGTCCTTAAAGAGGAAATGCATAAATCCTTTAAAGAAATCCAGGCAAAGACTGATGGATAGGAATCCAGCATAGGACTGATCAAGACCCCCCCTAAATGTGGGTGTCTGTGAGGAAGCCTAGGCAATCTATGGGGCCTTGGGTAGTAGATCAGTATTTATCCCTGGCATACAAATGGATTTTGGGTGCCCATCCCACAACGAGACATGCACTCTCAGCCTGAACTCTTGGGGGAGGGTCTAGGCCCTACTCTGGATGAAATGACAGACTATGGACACCCCCTCCCCCCACAGAGGGCCTCACCTTCCCTGGAGAAAAGAGGGGGTATTGAGTGGGGGAGGGGTTGTTGGGATGGCATGGGAGGAAGGGAGGGAAAGGGAGAGGGACCTGGGATTGAGATGTGAAGCAACCTTGTTTCTAATTTAAATTTAAAAATAAAAAAATATTTACGAGAAAAAAAGAAATCCAGGAGAACACAATGTGAGGAAATGAATAAGTCTCTTAAAGAAAGCCAAGAAAATACAAACAAATGGGACAAGGAAGTGAATAAAATCATTCCACATAGGAAGATGGAAATGGAAGAAATAAAAAACCCACAAACTTGGGAATTCTGGAGATGGAAAATCTAGGTACAAAAAAGGAACTACAGACACAAGCATTACCAACAGAATACAAGAGATAGAAGAGAGAATCTCAGGCTTTGAAGGTACAATAGAAGAAATTGATAGATTGCTCAAAGTAAATGTTAAATCTGAAAAATTCTTGGCACAAAATCCAGGAAAACTATGAAAAAGCTAAGCCTAAAAATAATAGAAATACAAGAAGGAGAAGAATCTCAACTCAAAGTCCCAGAAAATATTTTTAACAAAATCATAAAAGGAAAATTTCCTAACTTTAAGAAGAACATGCCTACAAAGGTATTAGAATCTTTCAGAACATCAAATAGATTGGACCAGAAAAGAAAGTGCCCCTGACACATAATAATAAAAATATTAAACATACAGAACGAAGGAAGAATATTAAAAGCTGCAAGGGAAGAAAACTAAGTAACATATAATGGTAGAACTATTATAATTACGCTCGACTACTCAATGGAGATTCTAAAAGACAGATGGGCCTGGACAGATGTCTTGCAGACTATAAGGGACCACAGATGCCAGCCCAAACTACTACACCCAGCAAAACTTTCAATCACTATATATAGAGAAAAGAAGATATTTCATAACACAGCTAAATTTAAACAATATCTATCCATAACTCCAGTCCTACAGATGGAACTAGAAGGAAAACTCCAACCCAAGGAGGATAACTACACTCGTGAAAATACAGGAAATAAATAATCTCACACCAGCAAAAACAAAAGAAGGAACACACACGCACACACACATACACACACACCAAAAAGACCCAGGATTCAAATCAATAATAATTGGTCATTGATACCCCTTAAAGTCAATGGACTCAATTCCCAAATAAAAAAGACACCGACATATTTTACAATGCTGTCTGCCTGCAAAATAAGATAGGGCAATGGTGGCACAAACCTTCTGAAGATAATAAATTAACATCTGACTTTATCTGGCCAACTCCACAAGATGGAACCAATACCTAACACTACTTTGGTGATCTAGAACCAGAGGCTAAATAACCCAGAGGCCTTGAATAAAAAAAAATTAATGGTCTTTAAGAAAAAGTTGTGATAAAATGACTCATATATCAGTGCCATATTCAGCCCTCATCAAAGATGCTTCCTCCTGCAGCAGATGGCAACAAATACAGAGACCCACAGCAAGACAATTACCCAGAGAGAGACTTTGGAACACACAACTCTAAATGGGATGTCTCCATCAAGTCTCTCCCCTCAGATCTCAGGGAACCCTGTGGATGAAGAGGCAGAAAGATTGCAAGAGCCAGAGGGGATGAAGGACACCAGGAGAACAAGGTCTTCTAAATCAACATGAGCAAAGCTCATATGAACTCAGAGACTGAGTCAGTATACACTTAAATTTTCAATTAATTTATTTTAATTGAAAATCATATATATGCTCTATATTGCATGCTATTTTAGTTGTAATAGTATGACAATTTTATGAATGTATATAATGTATTTTGATCATATCCACTCTATATTACCCTCTTTTATTCCCTCCCACTTCCACTGAACTTCTTCCTCCTAATATCTTTTCTGTTACCCACAGAATTTAACTAGGGTTGCTTATGTAAGTGTGGGTGGGAGATTATTTACTGGAGTGCAGGCAACTTCACCACTGAACAAAATGAGTACTTCCTCCAGCAACCATTAACTCTCAATAGCTCCTCACAGAAGGGTGGGGCCAACAAGCCCATCTACTATCCCATCCATTATGGAATTTTGGAGGGCCCACTCCAGTATAGGCCTTGCATGGTTAGGTTATCCATATATACTATTAATTCATTAGTGCAACTGATACGTCATGTCCAAAAGTCAACATTTCACAACACTTCTTCCCATACTGCAGATGTTACATCTTTTCTAACCCTCTTTAGTGATATTCTCTGGGCCTTGAGGGTGGTGGTTATAAACTGATCTCAATTATGAACACACATGCAAAAATTTTCAACAAAATCTTTGAAAACCAAATACAAAATGCATCAAGATAATTCACTATGATCAAGTTAGCTTCATTCCAGAGATGCAAGGATAGTTCAACATATGGAAATCAATTGATGTAATACATCATATTAATATACTTAAGGAAAAAAATCACATGATCACCTAAAAAGATGCCAAGTAAAGGATCTTAACAAAATGGACATCCTTTCATGACAGAAGTTCTGAAGAAATTGGGAATAGTTGGATGACATCTCTGGTAGTTTGAATGTAATTGACCCCCATAGTCTCATAGAGAGTGCCACTATTAGGTAGTGTGGCTTTGTTGGAACAGGTGTTGCCTTGTTGGAGGAAGTATGTCACTGTGGGGGTGGGCTTTGAAATCTTTTGCTTAAGCTTCACTCACTCAGTGTCACAGTTAGTCAACTTCCTGTTGCCTGCAGGATGTAGGATCCTCAGCTCCCTCTCCAGTACCATGTCTGCCTGCACACCGCCATGCTCACCATGACGATAATGGACTGAATCTCTGAAAACCTAAGTGAGCCACACAAATTAAATGTTTTCTATATAAGAGTTGCTTTTGGCCGGGCGGTGGTGGCGCACGCCTTTAATCCCAGCACTCGGGAGGCAGAGGCAGGCGGATCTTTGTGCGTTCGGGGCCAGGCTGGACCGATAACCTCCGAAACAATACAGAGAAACCCTGTCTCGTAAAAACCAAAAAAAAAAAAAAGAGTTGCTTTTGTCATGGTGTCTCTTTACAACAACAAAATAATTCTAACTAAGATAATATAGATAATAACTAAGATACTAAGCACAATAAAGACTATATGTGACAAACCTGTAGCTGACATACTAAATGAAGAAATACTCATGTCATGTCAATTAATATCAGGAATAAGACAAGGGCTTCTACTTTGTACATTCCAATTCCATATAGTACTTGAAATCTTAGCTAGATCAGTAAGACCAGAGAAATAAACAAAAGTGACATACATGGAAAAGGAAGTAGTCAGAACATTCTTATTGTAGCTTATAAAATTCTACATATGAGGAACCCTATTGTCTCCACCAGCAAATGTTCAGAGCTAACAAACACTGTCATCAAAGTCACAGGTATAGATTTATCTCACAAAAGCCTTCCTACATACCAATAACAAAGATGTTGGAAAAAAATCACTAAAACCATTTCATTCAGAGTTACCACAAAAATGTAAAATGCATTGGAATGAACATAACCATGGAAATGAAAGGCATCTACAATGAAAACATGCAAATATTCCAAAGAGAAATTGAAGAAGATACTTGCCTCAGTTAGAATTTTTAATACTTTGAATAGACCCCATGACCATGGTAACACTTAACATTTAATTGGGTGGCTTAATTTCAGAATCAGTCCATTATCATGGTAGGATATGATGGCTTGTGGGCATACATGGCTCTGTAGAAGAAGCTGAGAGTTCTACATCTTGATCTGCAGACATCAGAAGCAAATGTGTGTCACACTGAGCATAGCTTGAGAAAAGGAGACCTCAAAGCACGCCACCCCAGTGATACACTTCCTCCAATAAGGTCACACCTAATCCAACAAAGCCACACCTCCTATTAGTGCCACTCTCTATGGGGCATTTTCTTTTTAACTACCACAATCAATTGTCTAGCACCCAAAGTCTTGTAGCTATATCATAATGTAAAAACACATTCAGTCCAACTTCAAAAGTCCCCATAGTCTGTAACAGTCTCAAACATACTTAAAGTTTAAAATTCTAAGTCTAAAATTCATGAAGCCTCTTAACTGTAGTCCCCTGTAAAATCAAAATCAAAAAGCAGATTATATACTCGCAACATATAGTGGCAGGGAAGGGGAGCATAGTGCAGAAATACTGGACCAAAGCAAGACCAAAAACCAGCTGAGCAATCACCACACTCTGAAACTCCATGTCTTCTGCTAAAGTGCCCTTCAAATCTCCAACTCCATTCAGATTTGTTGACTGCAACACACTTCTTTCTCTTGGGCTGGTTCCAACCTCTGTTAGTAGCTCTCCTTAGCAGGTATTCCATGGCTCTGGTGTAGTGTGAATCCGTGGGAGTCTGGTAAAGATTCTCAAAGATTTATTATAAGGTATAAAGTAGGGGTAAACACTCACTGAGATAAAGATCAGGTTAGACACTGCCCCCATTCCAGCTGCCTTTGTCAAGTTGTTCTGTCCATGGGTGAAGAGCAAGCCACCTGCTCTGCTCAGACCACCTAAGGGGAGAAGAAGCAAGAGAGTGGGCGACTGTCTCCCTAAGCTTTGTCATATCTGCAGATAAACCCTTGCCCTAGGGCTTGCTGTCCCAAAAGTCATTGGCTAAAAGGATCAAAATCCCACAACACATCCCCTTTTTTTTTTCTAAATAAGAAGGTTCTAATCCTAACTTAAAACTATTTACAATAAGAAAAACTATGAAGTATTTCTGATGAGGATAGCACTCTGTTCACTCAGAAAATGTGGTCAGTAATTGTCAAGTGGTATCTTGTAAAATTAAAAGTTTCTATAAAGCAAAGAACACTGTTAGTTGAGAGAGGAGGTCTTAAGAAATGGGAGAAAATCTTTGCCAGCTATATACACTGTTTTAAAATAAGTACACATTGTAGAGTAACTAAACTGAAGTGATTAATATAAGTTTGATTGCATACACTAATTTTTTTGTGAGTCAGGAACACATTTTGCTTTGACTCTCTTAGCTATTTTTTAGAATACAATATATTATTAAGTGGTAAAGATAGTTACTTTGATACCAATTTAATTTAAAACTCTGTCTATGCAAAAAGAAAAGAATAAAAGAAGAGTCACTTAAATATAGATAGTAGTTATGTCCAGACAATATTCTAAGAAAATTTTCAATTTTATTCTATTCATTCTTAGGCAATCTTAATGTACCCCTGTCTTCTAGAGTCTGTGATTATTTCAGTAACAAAATGCCTTCCATTTCTACCTCAGGTAACAGTATAATTTGTTTTCTTTATCTGGCCCTTTCTCTGGGAGATTCACTTTCCTATATTCTGGTTCGTGAGCCAATTCAAGTTACAGTCAATTGTCCCAACTCCTGGGTTTACCTTCTGTCACTGCTATCTTCTTTCAGCCACATATGAGGTCGTCAGTCCTCCACTGCAATGCAAATACAAAATTAGTGTGTACTGAGCAAGTTCGATAGAAGTTTTGGTAAAAGGGTAGGTACATGTCTATGGTGTATCTAGGAGACGAATTCAAATGGAATATTGACACATTAGACATTTTCACAGGTTTCTAGATGTCCTAAACATCAATGTACCACTTGTTTGCCAGCCTCTTCTCCTCAAGCTGATGTCATTTGTCTTCATTTTATCCGTTTTCCTAGTTTTAAGATCCTTGGCCTCTTTCTCTGTCCTGCTGGTTCAAAAAAAGTAATACAGCTTCCTTCTTTGACATTTAAATAAGTTCCTTTGTCACCTCCAACCCATGCTAGTCTCTGGATACATCCTGCCTTTCACAGACGGTTACTTACTATTAAGGACATTTCTCACAAGAAAACCATCTATCCTGAAATGCAACTTAGCTAAGCAAAGAGACATCATAAGTAAATATGTGGATTTGCTTAACTGGAAATTAGTTGGTTATATATGAAAAGAAAGTAAATTAAAATACTTTGGTATATTCCTTTCAAAATAGAGCAAATTCTAGAGAAAATTTGTCTGCCTGTGATAGACAGAGTCTATAATGAGCATACATTTTCAACAAAATAATACATGCAACTATTACTTTTTAAAGGAAGTGTTTCATATTGATGATTACCTCTAATGTACTTGGCATATATACTTTGGTAAATACCCCAGTTTTCAGTTCTGTTTCTGTCTGGCTTCTTGAACTCCCTCACTCCCATGCTTTTTTCCTGCTTGCATCTTACAAGGGGGTGAAAAAAGTTCATCAGTGTAAACGAGATAAGAAACAAAATACTGCCTCTGACTTACAGCAATATACATAAAAACAGAATGCAGATGCAGCATATGAGGATTGTACAAATATCTTTATTATTTTTAAGTATTCATTTAGGTAAAATTAAGCTGGAGTCAGAATTCAGGTGACTATCCTGGACCTATTTTTCAGCATCTTCAGAAATAAGGACACTGGTGGGTAAATTTTAAACACATAAATATATTCATCATTCAACATTTATGTGGGTAGTTTAAAAGGTTATATTAATTATAAATATTTTAGTAGAGCAAAATGCATGTAAGTTTTAGAAAGAAAACTTGTGAGGTCTTGATTTACAAAACTTACTATTTATACTAGATCTTTAATACAAATAAAATATTAGTTTTAAAAATAAGGCAGTCTTGGGCTCAGTGATGGCACTGGTGTAGCGCAGTTCAGCTCTTCACAAGTTCCCCACCGCCCCCCATACACACTTAGTACTATGACCTACTAAATCATGTGACCTAGTGATGCACAAGCGGGAAGTCACAGTTGAAATTATAAGCAGTTTGCAGATCAAAGAAGCAAAAGTCAAGTCAGACACTAATGGTGTTATCAAAACCAGTGCCACTGCAGAAAAGGCAGATGCAGAAAATAAAGAAGACATGGCTACCCGGGCTTTACTCAGCAAGCTGATCAAAAACAACATTGTAGGCAACCCAAACCAAGTGGAATTCCTGCATCAGGATCCAAATTTCCCCCTCCAATAGTGAAAAGCTCCACCTAAAAGCACATCATTTCCTGGGTGTCTATGCCTTGGGCTTCAATCAATCATCCAAGATCCAGGAGAACGCATTACCCATGATGCTTAGTGAACCTTCACTAAACATGAGCACCCAGCCAAGGTCTGGTACTGGGAAAACAAACACCTGCTTCTATCCTGCCCAAAGCTTTCTTATGCTATTTGAGGCAAAATTAATTGAAGAGGCCCGCCCAGTATTAGCATTCTCAATAGAATTCAGTAGCATTTTAAAAGACAGAAAGACAACATGGATGATTTGGATTCTCATTTGACAGAGAAGACAGTCAACTAAGAAACTTCACCAGCAATGAGCACTACCCTCAGTGCTGTCCCTTCCAGGAAGACTAGTTACTTCATGAAATAGGCCTTAAAAGGCACCACAAAGATCAAGGCCAGAGTGAAGTTACCTATCTATTCAAAATTACATCTGGATTTGACAAAAATTTGCACAAAAAACCCTGGAGAAATCCACGTAAAGTTTTACACTTTAAGAAATAGTCTTCTCCCTTCTCCTTTTAAATACCACTGTTCTCTTCTCCTTTTAAAAATTATTCTACAATCGCTGTTGGTGATGGTTGAGTCTGATCTATTAGACTCAGGTGTTAGGACTAGCCTCCAGCCTCAAATAAATAACAGAGTGAAAGTTTGAGGAAGCCAGCAAGGACATTGCTCTGGCCCCATTGACATTCATAGTGCAAACACAGAGCCCTGATTTTCTCCACTGGACTTTCTCCTGAATTATGGCCGTCTTCCAAAAATGGAGAAACATTCTAGCCAGTCCTTTGTACCCACTATGGCAGAGGCTGTCCTTCTTTTTTCTGGTAAACATATTTCAGATTGGAGAAAAAGCTGGAAGTCAGTGAATCACAGAGACAGATTTGGGGATGGAAGCTGTCTCTTCTCATGTTCGCTGCAGCTGTTCTGTGCCTAATACTCAGTAACAGAAACCAGAAGGTAGTAGGTGGTTTTCTGAGTCTTACATGACTCCATTTTCTGGTTCTGATCTGTGAGGTTTCATGGCTGAAGCACAGCTGTAGTTTTGAAAGGAGGTCATAACCAAGCAAAATCTCTTACGATGTTAGTAGACTTCATGGGTTACTTATTCATATGAATAATGTCAGATAAATTTTACAGTGATAAACAGCATTTATTATAATGAAATTTAAAGTCTACCTTGACCTTGCATGGGTCTTGTGTATGCTGTTACAATTGCTATGAGTTAATATGTGCAACTGTCCTGCTTTATCCAGGGGACAAAGTTCTCTAGTATTCATCCACTCCTTACACCCTCTTCCACTATGATTTCTGGTCCACGAGAGGAGGGAATAGGATATAGATGTTTCATTTATGGCTTAGCATTCCAAGGTCCATTATTGTCTGCATGTTGACCAGTTGTCTCTGTTAATAAACATCTACTATTGTTGATCAGCATCCATAGAAGATTCTCTGATGAAGGTTGAGACGCATTTATCTATAAGTATAATGATAAGTCACTAGGAGTTGATTTAATACAATGTGCATTTAGCAGCATAATAGTCCCTTAAAGTAGGTTCTACTATAGGGACTATGACTTACCTAGCCTCAAGTTCTTGCCCTGACAATGGCATCAGATATAGGTTTTATATTGTGGAATGGGACTTCAATATAAGGAGGAAATGGCTGGCTACTACCATGATATTTGTGCTCTATTGTACCAGTGCGTGTGTCTTGCCAGACCAGTGGTTACTGTAGTTCACAGGATTCACAGCTGAGGAAGACTGATTTGAGGAGCTATTGGCAGATACCTGATTAAGCAAGTCCATAGAGGGAGAATAAGTTTCCTTTAAGAGTGTTGCCCCTAGCTGGGCGGTGGTGGTGCACGCCTTTAATCCCAGCACTCGGGAGGCAGAGGCAAGCGGATCTCTAAGTTCGAGGCCAGGCTGGACCGACAGCCTCCAAAACAATACAGAGAAACCCTGTCTCGTAAAACCAAAAAAAAAAAAAGTGTTGCCCCTAGTAAGTTAACCCACTCCACTGGAAGGCCATGTCTAAAAATATATGACTATCACTAAATGAACTTGATAGGTGAAAACAACGAGGTTGTAAAATTGAGTGAATAAAGACAAGAAGTATGAATTTAGGAGGAGTTGGGAAAGCTGGTTTATATATTCAAAATACATGGCAAGCAATTCTCAAAGGACTAATAAAAATAAAATTTGAAGGCTGTAGAGGTAGGTCTCGGTTAAGAGCACTTATTATTCTTGCAAAAGGCCAGGGTTTGATTACCAGCACTCACATGGTGACTCATAGCCATTCATAGCTCAAGTTCCAGGGGCTCCCACATTCTCTTCTGACCTTTGTGGATACCATGCCCTCACGTAGTATACAGAAAAACATACACATAAATTAAAATAAACGTATTTTTAAAAATCAAAAATTTAAAAGAAAAGTTAAAGTAATGAGAAACATTTTACTAATCATAATTTATTTATATTTTGTTTACTAGACTAACATACAGTTATTAAAATTAAAAAGGATTACAATTAGGCATTTTGAGATTTGTAGAGTCTATATATAGAGCTCAAACGTTAACCATGTGAAATAGAAGCTTACAGCATTTAACTGTGGACTTTTGGTTCTTAAACTAGACAATAGTGTCACCTTGTGGCAGAGACTGGTTATGGAAGCTTTTGTTTAAGCACTCTAAAAATGTTTTTCAATTGATGATGTATCAGTAAGAGTGGAGTTTTTTTCAGGAGTGTGGCAGCTTTATGCCTTTATTTAGAAAATATTTTACATGACTTATTGAAAGGATTCAATTTATTTTCTCTATTTCAGCAATAATTTACCCAAGGTATTAGCTTGAAGACAAAAAAAATCATATTAGCGTGTCCCATGGGAACTGGATTCTCATCTCTTTGTGGGTTTTCTGTCCCTATGTCAATAACACGTTTTTTTTCATTATATGATTTTTCACTGTATCTTTTTTATTATTTTTTATTTAAATCACCCTTTACAGTTGCCACAAGCAACATAAAATATCTTGGGTAACACTAACCAAACAAGTGAATGACCTGCATAGCAAGAACTTTGAGTCTTTAAAGGTAATAGGTAGGATCAACATAGTAAAAATGGCCGGGCGGTGGTGGTGCACACCTTTAATCCCAGCACTCAGGAGGCAGAGGCAGGCGGATCTCTGTGAGTTCAAGGACAGGCTGGATCGACAGCCTCCAAAACAATACAGAGAAACCCTGTCTCATAAAAACCAAAAAAAAACATAGTAAAAATGGCAATTTTGCCAAAAGCAATGTACAGATTCAATGCAATCCCCATCAAAATCCCAGCACAATTCTTCACAGACCTTGAAAGAACAATTCTCAACTTTATATGGAAAAACAAAAGACCCAGGATAGCCAAAACAACCCCGTTCAACAAACCAAAGTCCAATGGCATCACCATCCCTGATTTCAAGCTAATGTTCAGAAAACAGCTTGGTATTGGCACAAAAATAGACAGGTAGACCAATGGAATTGAAAACCCTGATATGGTTTCTGGGCCCCAGTTCCAGTACCTGGAGACTGCCACTGAGCCTCCCCTCCCAGTGGGAGCATATGCACCCCAGTTTCCTGGTCTTCTTCTCCACCCACGGGACCAGGTAAACTGGGCCCTATATCCAGGCCAGCTGTCCAGTGTGTGGCAATTGCCTGGGGACTGCCACTGAGCCTTCCCTCCCAGCAGGAGCCTACACATCGCAGATTCTTGGTCTTCTTCTAGACCAATGGGACCAGGCAATGCAGGACCTGTTTTTGGGTCAGCATTCCAGTGCCTGGGGACCGCCACTGAGCCTTTCCTCCAGGCAGAACCTTCGCACCCCAATTTCCTGCTCTTCTTCTCATCCCACAGGACCTGGACTAGGACCAGGAAGAGGAGAATTACCAGAGTATTGGATCTGCTTCCACACACAAAAAGGGATCTCTGTTTCCATAACCACCAGGCCAGAAAGAGGCACCCACTAGAAGAAGGGATGGGAAGAAGACAATACAAAAACACACTCAGCAACAGAAAAAAACTATGACACTGCCAGATTCTGAGACTCCACACTAGCAAGATTCCAACATTCCAATGCAAATGAAGCAGAAGAGAACTACCTCAAAAACAGCTTCATGAAAATTATAGAAGCCCTCAAATAGGATATGGGAAAATCCCTTAAAGAATTGAAAAGAACAAACCAAAAATTGCAAGAAATGGAAGAAAAAGCATACCAAACATCCAAAAAATGTAGCAAATGGAGGAAAAGGCAAAGCAAAAATTGCAATAAAAAATTCAAAGAGTGCAAGAGTTGAAAACTGAAATGGAGACAATAAAGAAAACACAGTCTAAAGGAAGGCTGGAAATACAAAAGCTGGGCAAACCTTCAGGTACTACAGATGCAAGCATAACAAACAGAATACAAGAGATGGAAGAGAGAATCTCAGGTGTTGAAGATACACTAGGAGAAATAGATTCATTGACCAAAGCAAATCTTAAGTCCAACAAAACCCTAACACAAAACATCCAGGAAATATGGGACACCATGAAAAGACCAAACCTAAGAATAATAGGTATAGAAGAAGGTGAAGAAAACCACCTTAAATGGGGCAAAAATATATTCAACAAAATCATAGAAGAAAAGTTTCTCAACCTAAAGAAAGACATACCAATGAAAGCACAAGAAGCTTACAGAACACCAAATAGAGTGGACCACAAAAAGTCCCCTTGCCACATAATAATCAAGACCCCAAACATACAGAATGAAGAAAGAATATTAAGAGCAGCTAATGAAAAAGGTCAAGTAACATATAAAGGCAAACCTATCAGAATTACACCTGACTTCTCCATGGAAACTCTGAAAGCCAAAAGGTCCTGGATAGATATTCTCCCAACACTAAGAGACCATGGATGCTGGCCCAGACTACTATACCCAGCAAAGCTTTCAATCACTATAGATGGAGAAAACAAGATGTTCCATAACAAAATCAGATTTAAACAATACATATCCACTAATGCCGATCTACAGAAAGTAATGGAAGGAAAACTCCAATCCACGGAAGTTAACTACAACCAGAAAAACATAGGCAATAGATAAGCCCACCTTTCCAACAGCCAAAAAAAGCTATATACAGCAAACCAACAGCCAACATCAACCTAAATGGACAGAAACTCAACGCAATTCCTCTAAAATCAGGAATGAGACAAGGCGTCCACTTTCTCCATACCTCTTCAGGGTAGTACTTGAACTTCTAGCTAGAGCAATACAACTACAAAAGCAAATCAAGGGGATACAAAATGGAAAAGAAGAGGTCAAACTTTCACTATTTGCAGATTATATTATAGATTACATGAGTGACTCAAAAAACTCTACCAGGGAACTCCTACAGGTGATAAATACTTTCAGCAAAGTGGCAAGGTACAAGATCAACTCAAGAAAATCAGTATATACAGACGACAAAAGGGCTGAGAAAGAAATATAGAAACATCACCCTTTACAATTGCCACAAACAAAATAAACTACCTTGGAGTAACACTAACCAAACAAGTGAAAGTCCTGTGTCACAAGAAAGAAATTAAAGAAGACACCAGAAAATGGAAAGATCTCCCATGCTCTTGGATAGGTAGGATCAACATAGTAAAAATAGCAATCTTGCCCAAAACAATTTACAGATTCAATGCAATCCCCATCAAAATTCCAGAAAGTGATTCACAGACCTTGAAAGAAAATATTCAACTTTATATGGAAAAACAAAAGAACCAGGATAAGCAAAACAACTCTGTTCAACAAAACAATGTCTGGAGGTATCACCATCCCTGATTTCAAGCTCTATTATAGAGCAATATTCCTGAAAACAGCTTGGTATTGGCACAAAAATAGACAGGTAGACCAATGGAATTGAATTGAACACCCTGGTATTAACCCATACATATATCAACATCTGATCTTCGACAAAGAAGCTAAAAATATACAATGGGAAAAAGACAGCATCTTCAACAAATGGTGCTCACATAACTGGATATAGACGAATGCAGATAGATCCATGTCTATCACCAAGCAAAAAACTTAAGTCCAAATGGATCAAAGACCTCAACACAAACCCAGTCACACTGAAACTGTTAAAAGAGGTATCCTTGAATGAATTGGTATAGGAGACTGCTTCCTGAAAATAACACCAGTAGCACAGACACAGGTCAACAATTACTACATGGGACCTTCTGAAACTGAGAAGCTTCTGTAAGGCAAAGGAAAGAGTCAACAAGACAAAAAGGCAGAATAGGAAAAGATATTCACTAATCCAAATCTGACAGAGGACTGATCTCCAAAATTTATAAAAAGCTCAAGAAGCTAGTCTCCAAAACACCAAAGGTGCCAATTAAAATTGGGGTACAGAACTAAATAAAGAATTCTGAATAGAGGTCTATAAAATGGCTGATAGATACTTAAGAAAGTGTTCAACATCCATAGACAGGAAAATGAAAATCAAAACAATTCTGAGATATCATCTTACTCCTGTCAGAATGGCTAAAATCAAAAACACCAATGACAATTTATGCTGAAGAGGATGTGGAGAAAGGAGAACACTCCTCCACTGCTGGTGGGAGTGCCAACCTCTACATCCACTTTGGAAATCAGTATGGAGTTTTCTCAGGAAAATGGGGCTTAGTCTACCACAAGATCCAGCAATTCCACTCTTACGCATATACCCAAAAGATGCATATTCATACAACAAGGGCATCTGTTCCACTATGTCCATAGCAGCATTATTTGTAATAGCCAGAACCTGGAAGCAACTTAGATGCCCCTCAGCTGAAGAGTGGATAGAGAAAATGTGGTATATTTACACAATGGAGTACCATTCAGCATATAAAACAATGGAATCTTGAGATTTTCAGGC